TGTGTGTGACAATCAGCTACATTACTATTATAGGAACAAAAGCATTGGGTGATGCCTATACGAGAAACTTCTGACATTTTATTGATTAATCGATAAATCACTAATAAAATAATCAATCAAAATGAGGTTAGGACATGTCTTTTCTAGTCACCACCTCTCCGAGTCAACACACTGATCACCGAATTGCTTAGCTTAGTTATGTTTTTATCTACAGCTCAAATTTTTTGCTTTTTAACCACCACCATGTTCCGTCATATAAATGAGGACATATTTATCCGGGAGACCCTGTCGTCCACATGCTGTAACAGGTAGCGGTGACACAATATAACAATAAAACATCTCCATAAATCCAGCATAATGGCTTTATGATGTGCTGCTTAAATCTCTGATATCACCTGTCAAACCAGGTTGCTGGGGGAATTACAGCAGACAGTTTTTTTTAAATCCTCCCTGTGTAATCTAAATAACAAGCTGCTCCATCTCTTTTGTGTGCAGCGTTAAACTGGTTGCACAGGCCAACATATCTCTGTCCATTTATCTTTATCTCCACAGCCACAGGGACTGATCCTCTTTTCCAACAGATGGCGCTTGTTATGAGCTCTGATATGAAACCTCAAATCATGACACAGACGCACATGGCGTTACGAGGACAACCAAACCTGTCATTAAATTTGAGCTTTGTGGACAGCTCGGTTATTGGTCTAATTACAGGTAGCTGTCACGCAGTTGGGATTTAAAAGGTGAAAAATCTGCATCCGACAGGCGCATTTGTCCTGTAGCACCGTTAAGATCATCATTGGCTGCATGTTGGATTAAAGTGGCCTCAAGGGTATTTTTAGTCGGGAGTAACTGTTAAATCCAGACAAAATAACATATAAAATTGTGATTAATAGTTTTACTCCCAGCTGTCCAATAATTTAGAAGTAATGAGGCGTGTAAATGCATTTTTTTTTTTTTTGGTGGGGGGTCGGGTGCATTTCAAAATTCAGTTTTCTCCTAGTTTTTTCTTGTGTGACACTGGAAAAAGGATCAGGTTATTAAATCTGCAGAAATCCAAACACTCCGGGCAGGATGATAGGAAGACAAGACACATTACAGGGCTGAGCAGCACAAAACTGATCACATTCCTGCCTAATATGAGAAATAAGGAGTAAAATTTAGTCTCGAACCAACCTTGGCGACTGCATGGGATCTCCGCGACTCTGGAGTCCTGGAGGACAGCAGCGAACAGGAGCGAGAGGGAAGCAGACTCCTTAAAAAAAAA